CGCTGCTGCCTCCTCCACCTTCGCTGCTGCCGCCACCGCCTGAAGAAGCCCCATCCATCCGCCTGCAGCCGGGAGATTCTGAGCCTGGGAGGGGCCTGGGGCCCGGGCCGACCGCCTCCTTCTTCTAGTCGTCGTCCGGAGCTTCCTCCTGCTCCACCAACCCTCTGCCCTCCCCTCCGCCTCCGCCCTCCTCCCCGGCCTCACGCCGCCGGCCAACCGCGCGGCCGCTTGTTGAGCCAGAGCTCCACTGTCTCCATGACGCCCGGCAAACATTCCAGTGCATCAGTCCCGGCCGCTAACGCCGGGGGTTAGGGTACAGGGACTCCAGAAGCAGCTGGGAAGGGGGTAGTTGGCCACTGCCCAGCCGGTCGCCACCATGCCCATTTCTCCGACAAGCAGCCGCAAGCCGATGAACCTCGGGCCGTAAGTTCCGGCGCCAAATCGTAATCCGTCCCGGTGGGTCTCCGAGGGAGCTAGCTCTCCAGCTCCTATCCCTGGACTTTGAGTACATTACTGCATCTGGGTTCAGTCAGCAGGCCTCCAAGCTCCCAGGCTTTTTTTTTTTTATAAAAGCTTTTTAAAAAACTCTACTACTGTGCTTGTTCTGTAAGAAAAAAGAACAAAAACAAGGGAAACAAACAAGGGTTGTTTAGAACCATCCTTCCTTCCAGCCCTTCTGGGTTTTTTCTTTTTTTTTTTTTTTCTTGTGCAGTCTGAAGTTTGATGCCCTTGATGTCCTCATGCTGTGCTCAGCTTCAGCGAGTCAGACCGAACATTTCCTATGCTCTGGAGGGTACAGGCTTTTGTCCTACTGTCGCCTCTACTGTCGCCTCATGCCATGCTACCTTAAAACACTCCTGCTTGTAACTTTCAACCGTTGACTGGAGAAGGCACACAGCTATGAGATTTGTCTTGCTTATAACTTTAAATGGTTTCTTAGTGCTGCCCGCTGGATTCCCTAATTCATTCACACTTCCACACTTCATACCACTTTTATTTTTCCAAACCTTCAACATCTTTTCTCTTTAGTTTTCTGCCGCAGAGCTAATCTGCAGTGGAAGAAAGTTCTTGGAAGAGAATCCTCCATTCTCTCTTGAACATGGTATGCCGGCGTTTGTCCATCTTACCACTTCATCAAAACAGCTTTTGTGAAAAGTTAACAATAGCCATCCAGCCAAATGGCCAGTTCAGTTTTGATCTTAACTGATCTGTCAACAGCTTTAATCTAGTTAACACTTCTGGAGTTTTGGTTTCTAGGACACCATTCCTCCTGAGTTTTCCCCTCAATTCATGGCTGCTCTTTTTCAAAATAACTTTGCTCTTACTGCCTCTTCTGTCCTCTCAGAAAGTCGTTGCATACTATCTGTGAAATTAACCAACTCTCAGTCCTCCTTGCCAACACTTTCCCAAGTAGTAATCAGTATGACTCTTCACAGTACCCTCAGTTTTTCCCATATCAGAGTAGAAGGCCTGAATAATCTCACTCTGTCACTGTGGACTCTTGCTTTTGCCTCATAATGTTTCCTATGGTTTTATGACATATCATAGGTCCACTACATTCCAATTTGGGGGCCTGGGCATTTGCTCTTCAAAATATTGTATTCACGGATACATTATTTTCTACAGATGTCATTTCCTTCCTTTCAGTTGTCACTGTTTCAGAGTTGTCTAATCACCTTACATAAAATACTATAATACTTCTTCCTTTCAGCACTTCATTCATTCACCCTTTATTTTTTCCATAAAACTTAAACCCAGTCGAGTGCACACTTCCTGTAGCGAAAATCTCTCCAAAAAAAAAAAAAAAACTTAAACCCAGAAGTGTTATACCTCTTTATTAATGTCTTCACCTAAGAAATGGCACCATATGAGAGAAGAGATTTTTGTTTTGGTCACTGCTTTATCCCCTATTGTGTAGAGTAAAGGTCAATAAATATTTGTTGATTAAACAAACAAATGAGTTATGTGTGTTAGTAACTGTTTACTGCTCATCTTATCTGGTTTTGTGTTTACCTTTAGGTATGAACAATCTCAAAATTGAATTCATGCTGTGAGTTATAGTAATGAGATAGTGTAAGAATAATTTCCTTGGAAATTTTTTTATTTGCCAAGAAGGTGTGTGCTTGCCAAAGAGAGAACAGGGGAGGGCATCCCCCCAATGGGACATGGTCACACTGCAATCCCTTCTCCATTTCTCCATTCTGTGAGGACTGGAGCATGCACACACAGATCCAGTTTTTTTGTTTGTTTTTGTTTTGTTTTGTTTTGATCCACCAACTCCAGGGGCATGGTCAGTTATGGGGAATCCAGCTTCATCAACCACCAGGAAATTAGTCTGGCCCAAGAATTTATTAAATAATGACAAATTCATTGAAGACTATTAAGGAAAGGATAGGGTGGGAGATGGGAAGTAGTATAACCTTCACTTTTTGAGGTAGCCATATCAACTAATTAAAGATTCATAGACACTAAAGTTTACAACCTATTGGCTTGCCCTAATATTTTAATTCTCATCTTCCTCCTTTCAAGACCTATTCTTGATCCTAGAATGGAGTTCCTGAAGTCCTATCAGTTTTCCACTTTGCCACTCCAGTTTTTCCTGTGTTAGATCTTCCCATTGGCCTAACAATATTGGTCAAGTCTTTGCATTGTAAGAGTGACCACTGACTCTTTAACCCATTTATCCCATTTATCCGTCTACTTCTTTTACTTTTTTATTTTTTTAAAGGAATTATTTAATTTTATTTATTAGTGTTATTTTTTAATTTGCTATAGGGCACATGTCCTTACTAGAGAGAGACAGAGAAAGAGAAAGTGGCCATGTGGAAGTCTAGTGCCGCTTGCCAAAGAGAGAACAGGGGAGGGCATCCCCCCAATGGGACATGGTCACACTGCAATCCCTTCTCCATTTCTCCATTCTGTGAGGACTGGAGCATGCACACACAGATCCAGTTTTTTTGTTTGTTTTTGTTTTGTTTTGTTTTGATCCACCAACTCCAGGGGCATGGTCAGTTATGGGGAATCCAGCTTCATCAACCACCAGGAAATTAGTCTGGCCCAAGAATTTATTAAATAATGACAAATTCATTGAAGACTATTAAGGAAAGGATAGGGTGGGAGATGGGAAGTAGTATAACCTTCACTTTTTGAGGTAGCCATATCAACTAATTAAAGATTCATAGACACTAAAGTTTACAACCTATTGGCTTGCCCTAATATTTTAATTCTCATCTTCCTCCTTTCAAGACCTATTCTTGATCCTAGAATGGAGTTCCTGAAGTCCTATCAGTTTTCCACTTTGCCACTCCAGTTTTTCCTGTGTTAGATCTTCCCATTGGCCTAACAATATTGGTCAAGTCTTTGCATTGTAAGAGTGACCACTGACTCTTTAACCCATTTATCCCATTTATCCGTCTACTTCTTTTACTTTTTTATTTTTTTAAAGGAATTATTTAATTTTATTTATTAGTGTTATTTTTTAATTTGCTATAGGGCACATGTCCTTACTAGAGAGAGACAGAGAAAGAGAAAGTGGCCATGTGGAAGTCTAGTGCCTTAACCACCATGCCACCTGCTGGTCCCCAGTGCTTTTATTATAATTCCTTATACATCTGTTTTCCTTTCTATTGTTTTAATAGTTGTCATTTCTCTTATATTACCTATACATCCCTGTATGTTATTGACTTTTTCTGTTTGAGTCTTTGGCATATACATATTTATTTTAAATTCACAGAGAATTCCCATATCTTGGCCATGGCAGAGTCTGATTTTGATGTTTTCTTTGTTCCTTCAAATTCTGATTTTTGTCTCTTGATATTCCTTATAAGTTTCTGTTGAAAGTTGAGCATACTGTTATTTTTATATGAACTGAGAAAAATTGGCCTTTAGTGTGAGATTTTGTTTTTGTGGCTAGGTATAAGGCTGCACTTACTATTAGCTGTAGGTGTAAGTGTCCAAGGCTTCAGTTTCCTTTAGTGTTTGTCTGGGATTTGATCTTTACAGTACTTCAGAATTTTTTATTCTCAAGTAGGACAAGAGGGTGATAGGGGGTTGAGTTTGATTACTTCCTTTCCCCTAGTCAGTCAGGCTCTGGTAAAAAGTTTTTCTTGAGAGCAGGCCTCTGTTGAGATCAGAATATTTTGAATATATTTCAGAATGGTTACTTCCTATCTATCTGTCAAAAACCCCAAGAGAATTTTTCTCTGATCTTATCCTAAAAACCTGGTAGCTGGTAGAGGAAGTGTGGTAGACCCCTTGTGATAGACCCCCAGAAGTTTTTCTCAAGCTTGTCCATACTTAATCTTCAGTATTTAGGCAATTGCCCTTTAAGTTCTTCTACCACTTGGCCTCTAGTGGCAATTTCTGTACATAGGCTATGATCATACTCTTTTCAACTGCCACTACAATTTCAAGGTAATCATAGCCCTAACCTATCAGTTCTTTGATGAATCTAAGAAGAGGTATTGTACTGTTTCTGTGGTGCATCAGTAAAAGTGTTGCTTAAGAAAAGCCAGATCCAGGATAACAGATTGTGTAATGGTTACGTTGCTGGACTCCCATGTAGTCGACTGTGATTCGAGTCCTAGACCTGGTGGCTTAAAACTCACACCAGATGCATGTGCGTGCATGCCCAAAATCCCAAGAGGAGAACGGAGGATTAGGGATTGTGGTATGGCCATCCTCCCAAGGGGTGATTTCTTGCTGTCTCCAGTGAGCACACGCACCCTGTAGCAAAATCTCTCTAAAAAAAGAAAGAAAAAGAAAAGCCAGATCCTACCTGGTGACTATGGTTTGAATCCCTTGCCTAATCAGCCTGCAGTATGTCAGGTACACACGTAAGTGCCAAGGATCTGGTGGGCTGGAGGACTGATGGAAGAGGATCACAGCATGGCCAGACCCTGTAGAGAGGGCTTATCTCTCTCTTTTCATCATTCTCACATGTACCCATAGGCCCTCTATTATGAATGAAGAAAAATTAAATTAAAAGAGGTGTTACTTTTCACTTTATTCAGCCTTTTTCTTCTTGCAAGGATAGTATTGATAACTTTGAAAGTCTACATGTTAGATTGAAAATTAGAAGTGTTGTTCTAATTTACTTTTCACTCTAACTTTTGCATTGTATTGTCTACATTACTATGTACATAAACTACTCAGAGATCTATAATGAGTAACCTAAAGATTTAAAAAATCAATGTCTTTTTTGTTTACTTTTCTATTTCTCTGCAGCATTTGACAATATTGATCTTTCCTTCATTAACATTTTTCTTGATTTTTCTAAATCTGAACTTTACTGTTCACTTATTACCAGTCTAAAGACCTTATTATTTGGTTCCTCTTCCTTTCTGCCTCCAGTTTCTTCCCTATTCTCTTTAATTTTTTGAGTTTTTATTTTGAGACTCTCTATTTACTATCATCTTTATGCAAAGATTCTCAAAAATCTCTATTTCTGACTTCTGTTCCCTGAAATTGACTTCACTGTTCATATTCAGCTGCTACCAGATAGCTCCACTAGGATGTCACTCTGATATCTAAAATATAACTCCTTATGATGGTTTAGAAGTAAAGACTAACCATCATCCAAATTTCTGAGGCAGATAATATTAACCTAAATTTATAGATAAGGAAAGAAAGAAGCAGCTTACTAAAGAATGTATAGCCTGTCAGTTATTGGATGAATTTGGGCATGTATTATTTGTAAAACATGGCTAATACATCACTTACGAATTGAAAGAATTGAATTAGAAAATACAAGTGGAAGCGCCAGTTTGGTGGCACAGCAGCAAGACATTTCCCAAGGGATGCTGGATCCAAATGGGAGGTATGGATTTGGCTCCTCAGTTATATATCCCCCAGTGACTCAGGCTACTGAGGGGCTGGGGTGAGGAAGAGGCAGGGGTGTAGTGGATTGCAGCCTGAGATACTCATGAAGGTGCTTATCTTTCTCTCATGATAGAAAGGAAAAGAATGAAAGAAAATATAGGTGGATGTTTTTTGACATTTTAATTTTAAATTTCATTGTTACCAAGTTACCAAGTCCTATCAGTGGCATATCTGCTGTTTTGAGGGTAGCCAGGATTTATTTTAATCAAGTATGCCAAGACTTGATTATGGAAATGACTGTCACAAAGGAAGTAGGTTTTTTTTGTTCTGTATTAATAGTTACTGGTTTCTAGAAACAGAAGGTAGAGCATGCCATGGCACAGAGGGAGACCACATGGGGAAGCACCAGGGTTATTCAGGAGAGCAAGAAACAGGCCAAGGAGTAAGCAGGTTTGGGAATGGCTAGTTTGAATTATTTCAGTGGGTTTTGAGACATAGGAGCTGTCTCCAGTCTAATACCTGTCCTTGGGGGATTAAAGTAGGTGGATAATTCTACAGATTATCATTTGAATGCCTTATATTTTCCAGTTACTGTCCTAGGTACTGAAATACAGTTGTGAATAAAGCAACTTAAGTCCCTGCTTCAGGAAACTGAAAATATACAGTTACATGACTTCTTGTATTATAACTCTGTTTTTCATGTAAAACATAGAAGTGATTATCTTTTTTTGAAAGTCATTCTCATTACTGCCCCTTAATTTGCCTCTACAGAAGCATCTGTGTTTTCTAATATAGATAGATGGATATAAGTTTCTAAAATCACTGAATATAGATACCTCCTTCAGTGTCTTTAAAAAAGTTATCTGCTGGGGCTGGCAAGTGGCGTGGTGGATAAGGGCGCTGGATTCCCACATGGCCAACCATGGTTCGAGTCTCAGACCTGATGGCTTGCTTTCTTACTTTCCCTCTTTCACTCTCTCTCTCTGTGTCTTTCTGATCAAATTAAAATAAATGAATAAATAAAAATGAATGAATAAAATGCCAAGACTTGATTATGGAAATGACTGTCACAAAGGAAGTAGGTTTTTTTTGTTCTGTATTAATAGTTACTGGTTTCTAGAAACAGAAGGTAGAGCATGCCATGGCACAGAGGGAGACCACATGGGGAAGCACCAGGGTTATTCAGGAGAGCAAGAAACAGGCCAAGGAGTAAGCAGGTTTGGGAATGGCTAGTTTGAATTATTTCAGTGGGTTTTGAGACATAGGAGCTGTCTCCAGTCTAATACCTGTCCTTGGGGGATTAAAGTAGGTGGATAATTCTACAGATTATCATTTGAATGCCTTATATTTTCCAGTTACTGTCCTAGGTACTGAAATACAGTTGTGAATAAAGCAACTTAAGTCCCTGCTTCAGGAAACTGAAAATATACAGTTACATGACTTCTTGTATTATAACTCTGTTTTTCATGTAAAACATAGAAGTGATTATCTTTTTTTGAAAGTCATTCTCATTACTGCCCCTTAATTTGCCTCTACAGAAGCATCTGTGTTTTCTAATATAGATAGATGGATATAAGTTTCTAAAATCACTGAATATAGATACCTCCTTCAGTGTCTTTAAAAAAGTTATCTGCTGGGGCTGGCAAGTGGCGTGGTGGATAAGGGCGCTGGATTCCCACATGGCCAACCATGGTTCGAGTCTCAGACCTGATGGCTTGCTTTCTTACTTTCCCTCTTTCACTCTCTCTCTCTGTGTCTTTCTGATCAAATTAAAATAAATGAATAAATAAAAATGAATGAATAAATAAAGTTAAATAATTCTTTAAAAAAAACTTATCTGCTTTCTGTCTCTTTATCAGGCACAGGGTTGTGAGCTAGGACTATAATGGTGTATGTGACAAATATTGTCCCTTTTCATAAAACTTATAGTCTGAATATTTTAGTGATGATGTTCTTATTTTAGTCCATTATTATGTTGCTAAACAGAAATCTGAGGCCAAGTGATTTAATAAAAATAGAGTTTTATTTGGCTCATGGTTCTGATGGTTGGAGAGTTCAAAGGCATGGGTCCAGCACCTGGCCAGCATCTACTGCACTTAAGGAAACTAAGATGCAGAAAAGGCAAGGTAGAATTTAGATCTGATTACAGTCAAATCTCAACTCCAGTAGAAATGTTTCCCCTTAAGTCTCTGTGACTTGATATAAAATAATAGTAATAGCATCCTCTTAGAATTGTTCTGAGGTAAAGTGACATAATGCATGTAAAGTCAGTAGAACTATGCTTACACACAATAAACTCTCAAGTAGCTATTGTTATTTCTTCTTAGGTGTTTACATTTTCAAATATTTCTAAATAAAAGTCTTCTTTCTTACTGTTTGTTGATTCTTCTTTTCAATCCTGAATCTTCTGTATTATATTTTTTTCTTATATTGTAACAGTGGCTTACAACCAAAGAAGTCTATTAGTTTCATTGACACAACAAAAGCTACAACAAAAGGATACATTAGTGCAAATCAAAGCAGAATGGGTGTATCAAAGACCATGCTGGTTCCTGACTCAAAAACGATGGAAAAAATGAATATTTCCAGCGCAAAGACAGCCACACAGGTAATATTCTTTAGAATTCTGAGTTTATTTGAAAATGACACCATGCAAAATTTAATTGGAATGTTAAAAAGGAAATATGCTGCTTTCAAATAATCACTTCTGATATTGGAATATTTATTTTGTTAGAATTTTTTTTTCATTTGTTGCAGGGCACGTGTGCTCACAGCAGTCAGCTATGTGGGAGTTCAGCCCTTAACCACCATGCATGCCAACTGTTGGCTCCTAAAATTTTTCTTAAAGTGTAATATTGGCAGTTGCCACATAACTCTTTTTTTTTTTGGAGAGGTTTTTGCTGTAGGGCGCGTGCACTCGCCAGACAGACAGAGAGAGACATAGAGACAGAAAGTGAGAAATCACCCCCCAGGAGGGATGGCCATGCCACAATCCCTTCTCCTCCATTCTCCTCTCGGGATCTTGGGCACGCACGCACAGGTGCCCAGCGTGAGTTTTAAGCCACCAGGTCCAGGACGCGAACCGCGGTCGACAACGTGGGAGTCCAGTGACATAGCCATTACGCCAACTGCTGGTTCCCTCCACATAACTCATTTTTAATAAGAATATTATAGTGGAATGAATAAATTCTAATCATGACCGTAACTAGTTGCTCATGATATTAATTATAGCAAATACAGTACAGCTATCATTTACTCTTTTCAGCAACGTACTCTTGAAAATATAAAATCGTCATAAAATTGGTTATTTTGTCTCACAAGAAAACTTACAATTAAGGATTGACCTTTTTTTTTCTTTCTTTGAGATTTTTTTTTTATATATAGGGTGCATGTGCTTGCCAGACACAGAAAGCAAGACATCACCCCATGGGGGGATGGCCACGCTGCAATCCCTTCTCCTCTATTCTCCTCTAGGGATTTTGGGCATACATGCTCACATGCCCGGTGTGAGTTTTATGCTGCCAGGTCCAGGACTCAATACTCAGGTCAACTATGTGGGAGTCTAGCAACGTAACCACTATGGCATCTGCTGGTCCCTGACTTTTATTTAAAACTCTTCATCAAAGTATAATATGTATACAGAAAGTATATAATATATAATGTTGCTTAGGTTTTTCTTTTTAAAAAATAAGACATTAAATACATTGTCTATTAAGGTAAAATTGGTAAATTAAACTTTATCAAAGTATAACTTTGGGTTCAGCCTGTGGTGTGGTTAAGGTGGCTGGATCCTACATGATTGATTACGTGGTTTGAGTCCTGGACCTGAAAATCTGAAAAACACACTAACAAGTATGTGTGCATGCCCAAAATCCCAAAAGGAAAGAGAGAAATGGAGGAGAAGGGATTTGGGCATGGCCATCCCCCCTGGGAGTACTTTCTCACTTTCTTTCTCTTACCTCCCTCCCCCATCTCCCTCAGGTGGGGACACATGCTCTCCAGCAAAATTTTTTAAAAAGAAAGAAAATTATTTTGCTCTATGAGAGACACCACTAACAGGATAAGAAAAACCATAAACTGAAAAGTAATTATTTACTAAGCATATCCTGATAAAGCACCTGTAACTAAAATATATATTAATAAATAATCCTCTAAACGAGACAACTCATTTTTTAAAAGTAAGCAAAACTATTGGAACCAGCAGTTAGCATAATGGCTATGTCGCTGGACTCCCATGTAGTCGACCGCGGTTCGCATCCCGGACCCGGCAGCTTAAACTCAAGCCAGGCGCGTGTGCGTGCATGCCCAAGATCCCGAGAGGAGAATGGAGGAGAAGGGATTGTGGCATGGCCATCCC